GGGGTTGTTAACCAATGTCATAAAACAGCGTGTGTGTTACTGTTACATGAGAAACTATCTGTTCTGTAAGCCTTCACCTGAAGTACAATAAAATATTTAAAAAAAAAAAAAAGAGCCCACTTAAGTTAGTGAAAACAACCAGACATAGCCTTAAATGAAAATACACAAAGCCATTAGATTAGTAGATGTAGGCTATCTTTTTCAAACCCCTAAACATTTCTAAAACTCAGTGTGCTGTAATAAAAGAAATTGTGACAGAGTCCAAAGTCCTAAGTTCTGGTGTAAGCTCGTGGACCAGACAAATCACTTAATATCTCAGGGGTTATTTCCTCATCCATAAAATAAGCGATGTGAACAGTATTATCTCTCTGGTTCTTTCTCGCTGGCATCAATAGCATATATATTAAAAATATACTTCACATATTTCTTGATAAGACTGTAGCCTGTGACTCTATGTGTGAGTGCAGACCTCATCCTAATTAGATAGGCTTGATTTTTTTCTTGTTTAAATGTGGCCATATTCTGGTTTTTATATTTTTTTTTGCCTCATTTTATAAGGAGTGGTTCAGCTCTACAGTCTCACATCTAAACTTACATATTTGGTAAGATGGAAAGGAAATAGTACTGAGTTCCAAGCCCAAACTGCCACAAATTGCTTAGTCCTGGGCAAATCATTTTTAACATCCATGGGCTTCAGTTTTCTTATAAAAATGAGCACTTTGGAATTCTAATACCCCTTCCAGCTTGAACATTCAGTAAATTGAAGGTTCCTTGGGATTATTGGGGGAGTGCTAAATCCCATGGGTGATTCTTCTCGCATCTAAAAGTCAGTCGTCCTGATTTTATTCTAATTTTTCCCTAATTCATAATAGAAATGTCAAAATTGGCTGTAGTGACTGATTGCTGTGTTCCATCTTCACCAAAAAAAGGGAAGGAAAAAAGAAAGAGCAGAGTTTTGCTTTCTTAAAGTTATTACATCAATTTGATTATCTGAATCAAATTATTTTATGCTTATGAGGGAAGATGAGATTTCCTTAAGCTTAAAAATCTATGTGATGTAGTAGTTAAAAGGTAGAATGTTATTTGATAATTAGTGAAGCAAAAAGGGCTCTAGTTTTAAAGGTAACAAGAATATTTTGTATTCTCCAAGGGACCATACACAGCATCCAGTAGTGGCATAATGCCTTTGGACAGCTCATTGTTATGGGAACCTTATTCCCTTTAACTAAAGGTGTCATTCATTTCAGCCTGGCTAGGGACTAGTCTTGAAAAGAATGCAGATATGTGGGAGCTCATTTTTATTTTTATGGTAGCATCCAAAAAGACCATTTTCTTTCTCCTTGGGGTACTGTGATCCCCCTATATATCTCTCTAAATGTCTATAATTATTATCTACATATCAATACTTTTTTATTCTAACTTCAAGCCCTGATTTTTCGTTCACCCACCAGTTCAGACCTTTTGTTGTTTTTGCAGGATTCCTGTGGTTTATCCGAGAGGACTGATGGGAGATATTCTAAATACAAAGTGCAGAGAGATTCTCTTCAGCTGCGCCGAGATGATACCAAGTACAGAATTAAAAACTTCAAAGTAATGTCCTTTATGTGCATTTTTAGTCTAGGAATATTATCCATATTTACAGCTACAACCGCATCCTATGCAGCCTCTTTGGTGTTCATACAAGGGCATGTGTAAAAGAAAAGATTTTTCTTAATGTATGAAATAGATTCTCAGTTTCGTGGGAGTGGAAAAGGAAATTCTGAAGACTGTGTTTGTAACTTTTTTCTTGGGAACTAAGCTGTAAGTTTATACATTGTTGCTAGATATGTTTGCCAGCCAGCATTGATGTTGCTTAAGAAATCCTGACCAAGGAACTCCCAGGTCACTTGGTTGGTCAAAACTGTAGTATGAATGTTTGCCTTTTGTATGCACAAGTCCAAGTACTATTCTTTACACTGAAGTCCCCAAAAGATCAAGCCGCATATTAAAAAATAAACAACAACAACAACAAAACTGTTGCCACAGAGTCGATTGTAACTCATGGAGACCCCATGTGTGTCAGAGTAGAACTGCGCTCCACAGGGTTTTCAATGGCAAATTTTTTGGAAGTAGATCACCAGACCTTTCTTCCAGGAGACCTCTGGGTGAACTAGAACCTTCAGCCTTTCGCTTAGCAGCTGAGAATGTTAACTATTTGCACCACCCAGGGACTCCAAACCACCTATAGTCTTTGGTAAACTATAGCCCTGCATCTTTGGTCATTGTTTTTCTGAGGATGTGAACTCCATGCTAATACTGCAGTTATGGCCCGTTAACACTGAACCAACACAGGAGACTGGGAAGATTGAACCGTATTGACAAAAAGGCTACCATCTCCTAGAGGCTGCTCAGTGTCCACCTGTGGCACAGTTGATTTTAAACCCCTTTGACCCTGAACAGTGCTTAGCCTAGAGCAAGTTTTCTCAATCTTGGCATTAGTGTCATTTTGAGCCAGATATTCTTTGTTGTGGGTGCTGTCCTATGCACAGTAGGATGTTTAGCAGTGTCTGTATTATCTACACACTGGATGCCAGTAGCACCCCCATCCTCAAGTTGTAACATTCAAAAATGTCTCCAGACATTTCCAAATGTCCTCTGAAAGGCAAAATTACTCCTGGTTGAGAACACTAGCCTAGAGAGAATCCATCTATATTTGAATGTACACCCCAAGTTGATTTAGAAACATAAGCTTATGGCTTTTTTATAGTCTTACAAACTTTAATATGCATGAATATTCATTACACTGTATATATTCGCTTATTACATCCAAATATAATTATTTCTAAGAAGCACCTTTCCTCCTCCGAATGCAATTGCATAGAATGCTCACTGGATATAAAGTCAGTGTTCATTTCCAATAGTGCTTCCTACCATGCTTAAATTGAGCCCTCCACTCCCCCATCCCAAACAAAAACTTAGCACAGTTAGGCCAAGTTATTGATACCCTTACTGTGAAGAGAGCATCCCTGTGACTTTGTACCTTTTTACCTTTGCTTTTTATAGATTGGTATTATTGATGGTAGTAGTGAGTTCATTATCTCACATGGCAATGGTTAAGTTCCCTAATAATGTTCTAAAACCCATGCACAACAACCACCCATTGGTCAGTGGAGGCTTGCATGTTGCTGTGATGCCGAACAGGTTTCAGTTTAACTTCCAGGCTAAGACGAGCAGGACGAAAGGCTTGGAGATTTACTTCAAAAAAATTAGCCAGTGGAAATCCTATGAATCACGATGGTCTACTCCACAGCAGATGGCACAGGACTGGGCAGTGTTTTGTTCCATGGCGCATGGGGCCACCGCGGGTCAGTGCTGACTGGATGGCAACTAACACAGCAACAACAGTAGTGTTCTAACGTTCCCATCAGGCCCCATATACTCAAGCCTTATTTCTCCACCATTTAAAGGAATGCCACTAACCTTAAACAGAAGTACAAGGCTTGGGCAACAATAGCTAATAATAGCTGCCAATTATTGAGCATATGTTAGAATGAACCACATGAAATTGGCACTATTATTTTTCCTCTTTTACTAGTGAAGAACCCAAGGTTACAGAGCAATGAAATGGTTGGATCAGGATTGAAACATAAATCTGCCTGTATCCAGTAATCTATGTCCTTAACAGTGTCATTGCAGTGTGAATTAGGACGTCATCTACCTTAATTTTTCTAGAAATCACCAAATGTAGGACTCTATTTTTGATATATAAAAGTCAGTTTTCTCCAAAAATACATAAAGACAACACTTGCCTCTTAGTTCAGCAGAAGTCTAGACACAAATCAAACAATGTATTCCATTGGGCAAATTTGCTGCAAAAGACCTTCTTAAAGTGTTAAAAAGCAAAGATGTCACCTCGAGGACTAAGACACGCCTGACTCAAGCCATGGTATTTTCGGTCGCCTCATATGTATGAAAAAGCTGGACAATGAATAAGGAAAACCAAAGAAGAATTGATACGTTTGAATTCTGGTGTTGGCGAAGAATATTGAATATACCATGGACTGCCAGAAAAACAAACAAATCTGTCTTGGAAAAAGTACAGCCAGAATATCCTTAGACGTGAGGATGGCAAGACTTCTCACGTACTTTGGACATGTTATCAGAAAGGACCAGTCCCTGGAGAAAGACATCATGCTTGGTAAAGTAGAAGGTCTATGAAAAAAAGGAAAGACCTTCAATGAGATGGATTGACACAGTGGCTGCAACGATGGGCTCAAGCATAGCAACAATTGTGAGGATGGTGCGGGACCAGGCCATGTTTAGTTCTGTTGTACACAGGGTTGTTGTGAGTTAGAATTGACTGGATGGCCCCTAACAACAACAACTAGATACAAATGAAATATTTAAAACAGTATTTTTCAATAAAATTAGATTTTGCATCAGGTGAATCAATGCTATCTAGGGATACCAAATTGGTGTAAATCAATGCAATTTCCGTGATAGCCTATGGAAAAGCTATGAATGTTTAACATGTTCAACAAGTAATGTCAACGGAACTCTCTTTAAAATTACATTTACAGCTGAAGAAGAAGTCAGGGATGCCAGCTCTTGGCAAAATGAGAAATAAGTTTGAAGCTTTTGAAAATAGGTAGTGCAAGTAGAGGAAGGGGCCACAAGCGTATTTTATGATGACATTGTTACACATTAATACTATCTAAACATTTTAAAACTCTGATCCGTGTCAGTGGTGAATTTATAGACTTATTACCACATGCAGCAGACATCTGACATGAAATAATGCAGTAATCTACACGAACTGATGGGTATAATCACATTCTTTTTAAGTCATTGGAGAGGAAAATGTGAGAGCACATTTTGCCAAATATAGATACCAATGGTCTTTGGCTCATATGACTTTTATAAAAACAAGGTATTAAGAAGACTGAGAGGGGATGCATCTTCAAAAGAAGAATGAGCCCAGATTGGAAGTGAGAAAGTTATGTTAATAATTGCATGGCTTCTTGGATAATCATAAGCGCTAACTCAGTTGATCATTCACTTCCTGAAGAAAATGCTTCAAGTAAATAGCATTAGCACTATTTCTATCAAGAGAGAGAGCGCCCCATTAGCTCAATTAGTTTTGGAAGGCATTCTCTCAGCAGCTACTAACTTCTCCCACATTTTGCTAGGACAAGAAATTAAAGAAAAGCACACTGCAAGGACTTGAGTTCACTGGCTCTACTGAAAACTGCTGTTCCAAGAAATCAGTTAGTCTAGAACTCAGTTTAATTCAGCAAACATGTACTGAGCAGCTACAATATTGCAAAGCGCTGTACTGCTTGTTGGGTTATGGGGGGCATATAAAGATGCAAAAAAAAAAACAAACAAACAAACTAAAAGGTATGATCTTCAAAGAGAGAATAGTTATCTGGCTGTCTTAATCCTAATAGATAATCCTCACGCGGTTGTTCCAGAGCAGGGGTGGGCAAACTACAGCTCAACTGGCCAAATCTTGCCCTCAACTTTTTTTTGCAAATATAGTTTATTGGAACACAGCCACACTTAATCATTCACATATTGTCTATGGCTGCTTTCACAGAGCTGAGTAGTTGAAACAGAGACTTGAGTAGTTGCAAGTCAGAGTTGAGTAGTTGAAACAGAGACTGTATGGGCTTGCAAAGCCTGAAATATTTACTACCTGGCCATTTACAGGAAAAATGTGCCAACCGCTGGTATAGAAAAATAAATCACCGGTCTACTCTTTCTTCCTTCACATATTATTTAAAACATTTTCTCTCCCTCATTGACCAAATAAATATTGCCCAAGCTCTTTGGAAAATCAGTACTTATCCATTTATTTTTATCAAGGACCAGCTATATGCCAGGAACATTCTAGGCACATGAGATTCACATCAGTAAACAAAACAGACAGAAATCCCTTTTTTTGAGCTTCTGTTCTAGTAGGCAGATATTCATGTTTGTTGTTTTTAACACAACATTCAGCAAGCATTTATTGAATTTCTATGGTGTACAAGGGCTCGAGAGAATGACATGATAAGAAAAACAGTTACCGACCCTTAGGAATTCAAAGCCTTCCCAAAAACAACTGTAGTGCGAAGGAGAAAGGGATTAATGCTATAAAAGAGGCCTCAGTGAAGTACTATGAGAGTTCAAAGAACGAAAGACGCTCGCGAATCTTTTGAAAAGATGTTTTTGATGACAAGTTATGGGGAAGTGTTTTATCTGCAGCTCAATTTGAAAGTACATCTCTGTTAGCATTATAGTTGTAGAACCCTGACTATATTACTGTTGACAGAGAAATAACTGTTGGAACAGCAGAACCGTGTTGGCAACTGGCTTCTCTCATATTGTTGCTGTTTTAGGAAGGTGGTGAAACATCCAGCAGGTCCAGACTGCTGGTGGAGGGAAGGGTTAGCAGGAAGAGTGCACGTCAGGTTCTTTTTCAGTCCAAGGCTAGAGCTGACCTCCTGCTGTTTACTCCCATGGCAATCACCAAGACAAAAATGATCAGATTTCTAGAAACTTGTTTAGATTTTGAGCAGGACCGAGGTCTGCGATCACTGAGAGTATAATGTAATGTTGTAGTAAGC